GAGGAGGGGGCAGCGCAGCCATTGGCACGCCGCCCCCGCGTCGTGTCCCCCCCTCCCCGTCCCCGCCGCGCCGGCTCCGCGGGGGGCGCAGCGGACGCCTCCCTCCAGCCCCAACCTCCCGGCGACGGGGCTTTTCCCGTTACCTGCCCCCCCCCGCCAGCCCCGGGTCGGCTCTGGGGATGCGCGGAGACGTGGGCCGGGGGCGGGCCAGGAGCCCTGGCAGCGGACCCGGGGTCTCCGCCGGGACGGGGATGCGAGCGCACATGGCGGCCCCGCCGGCAGCTGCTGTCCCCCGGGGTCCGGAGAGACCACCAGCTGTCTCCGTCCTCCCTCTGCACCTCCGCTGACCCACCTGCAGCTGCCCTGGGGTCGGTGGCGGTCCAGCGGGGCGAGCCTCGTGTCTCAGAGGGATCCAGAGAGGAGGGAAGGCTCCTGCATCCCTCTGCTGCGCCGGGCTTCAAGGCTTCAGGCTTGAAGCACTCCCTCTGCCAGCAGCAGCTGTTACAGATGTGAAGCTACTGAGCGGTCCTCGGGGAGAAATGAGCTTGCTGCTCGTTTCGGGGCGGTTCAGCATCAGCCTGGTTCAGGCCCTGGGCCAAGGGCTGGCCCTAACTCCGGCAGCTCAGCCGTGGCGTGCACGCTATTCCCAGTTAATAGGCAGGGAAACTGAGGCATGCCTGCGCTGGGGGAGTGCCTGCCCCGCTGAGCAGCCCCCTGACTAACCCTCCTTGCCTTGAGTGGAAACGCCTCGTTGTCTGATCATACCCATAACTGGGAAAGCGTAGGCAGCAGCAGGTCAGGCCTCTCCACCCTGCACCAGTCCCATGACCATGACCACTTCTAGCCAGCCGTGCTTATTAAAAAATTGCTAACAATGTGTTTCTGTACATCCGTATCTGGTCAGGAGGATGCTTTTCCCTCTCCTTGGCGTTTCTGTGTTTGTTGGTGCCGCGAATCAGGCTGAGGTGTGGATGAAGGAAGGGGCACGCTTCAGCCGGAGGAGGCCGGGGATGGCGGCCCTCGGTGGGAATCTGCTACTCCACCTGCTTTTGTTCCTAGGAAGAGGTGCAGACCACAGCCCTCCTCCTCTTTACAGGTGTCTCAGCCTCAGCAGAATTGGGCTTTCTATTCAGCGTTGCAAAGGCACAGGCCTTAAGATAACAGGAGAGTGAGATGACGAGATGAAGATGTGAGGGGCGATGTGATTATGAGTAATTGTTTTTGTTAGTTATGTGGTGGCAGCATCCGAGAGCCCATTTGGCGCTGGCCTCTGGTATGGGATACCACACATGTAGAAGAGAAGGGAGCTCTGTCCTGAGGAGTTCACACACTAAAGCTACAGATGGATAAAGCTTAGTTTTGGGGAGGCACCCAGCGTGGAAATGAAGGCGGTGCTGAACTGGAAAACACTGCTGTGTGCTAGTTAAGTATTGCTTATGTATTTGAAGTTCCTTGAGGTGCAGAAGGAGGAGAAGGAAGGGGAGAGGAGCAGTTGCAGGTGCTGGACAGCTTGCTTCAAAAGTGAGATCAAATAAAGAAAACGCATATGAAGTCTTAGTGCAGAGCCAATTAATGATTTTGAAACAAGACTGGTTTTGTGGCATAACATTAGTTTCAAACTACATGGAGAAATCATAGGTACCGTCATATGGTTAATAAGTGCGTGGCTTACTATTTTAAGAATGGTAGCAAGCCTTGGCAGTGCCAGAGGTTTTTTAGGTTTGAAAGAAAAAAAATATATCTAATCTGATACGTGTGAGACTACAAATACTTCTGTTTGAGTTGTGTCTGCAGGAGCTGAGAAGGTAAATTGTAGCATTGAGATTAATTTGTGAGCTAGCAGCCATCTTCAAATATCATCGATGGGTTTAACACATGCATGCACACCGACCTACAAACATACATGCATGTAGGAAGGCACACATGAAAAAACACGTTCGTGGATTAGTTTTAGCAGTCTGTTTGAAGTTGGTCCATTTCCCAGCTCAAGCATTAAAATTCAGCCCGAGTGCTGTCTTTAAATTGCTTTGATGCTAGGTGGGTTTCAACCCTGACCTGTCCTGACGGCAAGTGAAGTGATGGCTGTAACAAGCTGCAGATCAATATTCATAGCGGGTGTCCTGGACTGATAACACTATCCAAGACAATGTTCGCTATCGGTGGAGACAGCTGAGATATTGCGCCATTAGTGATGTTGTTTTAAATAACCTGATCCATTTCTGGGTCTATTTAATGAATTTCAGAGTTTAGATAATATCTTTAAGGAGAAGCCAGAGGCTATTGCAGAAACAGTGATGCAAATCAATGCCGCCAAGGCTCCTCTGCTTTTCTTAAAACAAAGTGGACTATAATTCTGCTGCAGCTCCTTATATATTCTGGGAGTCATGGCATGCTATTGATAGTATTAGCAATAAGAAAGTATTTGGACTGTATCGAGGGAGAAAACAGTATTATCTGTAAAGCTGAAACACAGTTGATAAAATCTTATCCATGATGGTAGAACGGAGGGGATCGGTTCAGCTCTTTATATGACGAACCAGTGTGTTTTTTCTCGGTTGTCTATACGAAGCGTTGGGCATGTACGAGAAGATGCCACCGAGGCGAAGCACGGCCCTGTCAGCGTTTCGGCCGAAGCCGACGTGGGTCTCGTCAGACTTCTGCCGCTGTGTGGATCAGCGCCTTGGTCCCCGCGGGCCGAATCCTGTCCTGCTTCAGTTCCCACAGACCTGCAGAGGCGATACGGGGTGCACGGGTGGCCCGGGGGAGCCGTGAGGGAATCCGCCATCCCACCGTGCTGCCGCTCCTGAGGGAAACCGCGAGATGGAAGGACGCCAAGCTCGTCGTCCCTTCGGAAAAAGCCTGACCCAAATTGAGACCCCGGGGTGCTCTTGCTGAGGGTCTGGAGCCCTTCCAGAAATTTTTAAGGAAACACGTTATGTTGCCTTTACTTTCGACAGCGTCTGCCTCAGGTGACGTGCGTGCTTCAGCGGATGGAAGTTTCTTCCCCGGGGGACGAGATACCTGAGGGAGTTTATCGTGGAACGGGGAACGAGCCCCGGCACTCGCCGCCTGGCTGCTTTTTAATGGCCGGCGCTGTTTGCCGGCCCGTTCCCGGGCCTGTTGGCGGCGGGCAACCCGGAGGCGGAGGCTGCTCGCCGTACCTGTGGAGAGGAGCCGCCGTTTTGGCGGGCGAGCGGAGGCGCCGGGCGCTCGCCGCGCTCTCGAAGAAGGCGTTCCTGCGATCGCCTGAGGAAAACCAAGCTTGGTCCGTGCGGCCACCTGCCTCAGGTGTGTTAACAACAGTAGTGATTAATTAATAAATTAATTGAGAGGCGGGGCGGGGGGCGGAACGCATCAAGGCTGCCGTGTTCACCCCGGTCTCTCCCTTTCCCCGGACTCCATTTCCCAGCAGCGCCTGCGGTTCGGCGGGACGGGGGAGGGTGGTGGGAGATGGCGGCCTGGGCTCGGGCGGTGAGGGGGCTGCTGCTGGACGTCAGCGGGGTTCTCTACGACAGCGGCGGCGATGGCGGGGTGCCCATCGCCGGCTCGGTGGAGGCGGTACGCAGGTGGGTGCCGGGGGGGGGTGTCGGAGGAACCCGGCCCGGCCCGCCCTCCCTAAGCCCGGGGAGGAGGAGGAGGAGGAGGCCGGTGAGGGGCCGCCCGGGGTGGGGGGTACCCCCAGAACATGGCGGTGCGGGCTTGGCACCCCGAAACATACAGCGTGCGCTTGACCCTGAGCTTTGGAGCTACAGCGTGTGAGGATCGGGGTTTAAAACCCCCCCGACGGTGCCGCCCCCCCCCCCCCCGCGGTTGGCGGTGTGAAAGTTGAGTGGGACAGGACAGCAAACGTGAACGTTTTGGGTCGCTTTAGTGTTTTTTGTCAGGCTTATTTAAGCTGCGAGGGAGTCCGCTGAGTTTGTGGATCTGCTGTTCCTGGGCTGGTGGGGAAAGGAGCCCGTGGCAGCGCAGACAGATCACAGCCCCGCTTGATTTTGTATTTACTGTCATCGCTGCACATGTAGCAGGAGCAGGCAATATATAAGAGGTCTGGCACGTTCCCCCGGTAATCATTTTTAAAATATTGCCCACACCGGCATGGTGCTTCTGTAAATTGATGAGCTTTGCTGTCAAATTAGCTGGGACTTCTTGCAGAGAACCTGCAACCCAGCAGAAATGGAGAATTGCAGCGCTGCAGTTAATGATTGCCCAGCTTATACGTGACTCAGAAGCAAAGTATTGCTGTGGCAAGTTACTCACCAGTGCCCACAGGTAGTGAACTCCTTCACTTTTAGCTGGGTAATGCAGTCCAGTTAACACAAGCTAAATAACCGTTGCTAAACAGACAGTGATTTCATTTCTTTAACTAACTTCTATTAACTAGGTTGACTTGCCAGTATGTCTGTATCAGCCCTACTTGACTGGAGGAGCAGGATGGGGCCAGGGGAGAGCAATGGCCGCAGGGCCGTCTTCGTTTAAAGGCAGGTATTGATTGGTGGGTCTGCCCCACTGGAGGAGGTCGTGGGTTTCTGGAAGAGCCTTTTGGCTCTACGTGATGTTTCACTAACCTGCTGCAGAAAATCCAGATCCATTTCACGCGGCGAGCGCTGCTGTGTGTACCCCACTTGAAATGTTTTAAATGTCGAAATACGAGCCAGTGTGAAGCGTTGACAGGCTGCTCAGTGAGCATCTCTGCGGCTTCTGTCCTCTGGGACCACCCAGCACAGACACACCTGTGGCGAGTACTTTATCAAGCAGGGAAATGTGCAGGAAGAAATATTGAATCACTAAAATTAATCACACAAGTTTAGTTAAATATGTGCCTAAATGTTGGTGGCACCGCCATGGAAAAGGCAGAACTGGAGAAGATCCAAAGGTACTGGTAATAAAAGAATTCTTTGCTGCATTTTTGTTGTGTTTTTTTTTTAAATTATATCTTTGTTCATATTGCTTAAAATACATGTAGTAGGCACATAAAGTGTCATTGAATGAATCTTCTGTTTTTGTCTACAGGATCAGAGTTTCCAGTGCTGTCAGAAAGCAGTGTTTGAAGCAGGTTTTAGGCTTATTGAGGCTCTTGGCCTGTTTGTGGTGCTCAGCTGGCCGCAGCTGGCCAGGGGGAGCTTGTGGGTGCCAGGATGGCCGACAGGAAACCCGCGCTCGGAGGGAATTTGGTGAAATTAGGCAGAGGGAAGAGTTGCTTTTATAAAGACATTGCATTGAAATACCGTGGCACGTGAGTTTTCCAAGGGATCACCTGTGACTTCTGTTCCCATTCCTCCATGTCCCCTTTATGTAATATTTCAGCATGATTTCTGTTCTCGTGCCTTTCTGTAGCTATGCTACAGGCTCAGGATTCAAGAGAGACCCTAAGAGAAAAGGCTTGTTGCAAAATGAAAGCATTTGTTTCCCCTTGGGTGTACAGAGTAGCCTGTTTGCTGACTGCAAAGGGGCAGGCACTGCTGGGGTTGCCTCTGCCAAGATTAAACTTTCCTGGCTTTCCTTCTTGTCTTGCTCAAATCCTCCTGGTAATGTTGCTTCCCGCTGAGGCCGATGCTAGTGCCAGCTGGTCTGTCATTGAAGGAGAGTCTTCTGCTCTCCCATCTTCTAGGAGAACGCGTCTTACCACCCTCTTATCATTTCTTGCCGACTGGCACTTTCTGCTGGGACCATCGCGTATACTGAGTTTGTGCAGTGTGTAACACTGCACAGCCCACGTCATAGCCGAATCCTCCAGGCATGGCCAAAACAAACATAAATAACAACAACTACTTTATTACTGTTGGAGATCAAATAATTCCTTTAAAAACCAGGACATATTCAATAATATCTGCATCGCGGTTTGCCAGATGCTTTTGACATATTTTTTTTTTTCTCCTAGGTATTTTCTGTCAGGTTGCAGGCTGTTATTTAATAATTTTTACCACTGCATTTGCTGAAACCTCCCATATGGAGGCAACGTAAACTGCAGTTTAATTTACAGCAATGTCAGAGATAAGCTAATGAAACAACAGTAAAACTCTGGCCTTGGGCTAAATGTAAGATATTGCGGGCTTCCGTTTGAAATACTGGAAATGTCTAAGCCCTTGTTCCTCGTTAGGGATTTCTGTGACTCGGTAGCTAATCTGACCTGTCTGCCTCTCTGACCTGGAGGGGCATGCAGGGGTCTTCAAGGTGGGTTTGGAGAAGCAATCCAACAACAGGCTCCCAAGCGCTGCACTGGGAAAGTTGATCTTGTTTGGGCAGGATCTGGTGAGCGTCAGCAGGTGCGTGCTGTGCTGTGTCCACCGTGCTGCACGGGGAGGTGACACGCTGCACCGCCTCATGGGCTGCCGTGGGGCTTCTCTGCAGCTCTGTGCATGAGGTTTGTTTCCAAGGGAGCGTGCTGGGAGCATGATGGTTGTTTTTAGCGTGTGTGGGCTCCGAGCAGTTTCATGTCAATAAGCAATGGAGGAGTGGTGGTGATAGCTGTGGAAACTGGGCACAGCAGAAGTGAGTATAGAAAAGTGCCAGGAAAGAAAAAAAAAACCAACAAACTAACCCAAACCATTTTGTTCAGGTCATTCAATGTAAGTGGTTAAGAATAATCATTTTCCTTGGGTAAAGTCAAGTAGCCTTATTTATCTGCCTATTAAGTTGGTAATTGTTCTAGCTCACACCATTTAAAATCTTTATTGACTCATTATCCTATTGCCAGTTGGTCATTAATATTTGTGTCTGCGTCATAGTACAGCTCAGTGGTTTCAAGCAGATGGATTAAAGCTAAAAGCAGCTCTTTTTTTAAATTGATTCATTTTTGTATCAATTAAAAAGTCATTATTGCAAATAGCTAGGAACTTTATAATTAATTCAAATTGATATGGTCTTTTGCTGAAAGATGTCTAAAATCTTTTAGTGCATATATATGTCCAATAGGAGTCTTAAATACCATTTTGATAATTCATACTACAGATATAGTCTCATAATATGACAGCTGACTTGTTCTCTTCAGATTGTCTTGCTACATCATCTCCCACACCATTACAGCAATTAACTTTGTGTAACAACATATAGTACACACCAATAAAAATCGTAAGTAAACATTTTCATTTGCGGTTGGTTTCATATGACTGAAGCCATTTCAACTCCTTAAGTTTGCTGCATTATTTTTCTTGTTTTCAGCCAAATTCTGCTATGCAGTTATTTGAGTTAGTATTTGAGAGAGTAGCGATGTAATTTCTGCCAGAAGAATTTGGACCATTTTATGTTTATGATGGCTGGGGGGGTGGGAGGGTGGTTCTCTCTTGTTTGTTTTTAGCTAGCAGTACAGTCAGATGAAGCAGAAGAATGACCAAAGAAACTGATGGATACTGAAACATCCTGACCAAGATGACATTCAGTTACGTACTTCCCAGTGCCGTAGTGTCCCTGCTGAGGAAAGCGTCAGTAGTCACTACCCAAGTTGTTATAACTTGTGATGAAACACCAAGTGTTACAACTGGGAATGCTTTATTTATTGCTAATGTACCTGCATCTCTGATAAATTTTACCTGTGAAATATCTTAGGATTCAGTATGCACTGAAAGGGAACTGGTAAATCGGAGGCTGAAAAGATGAACCACAGAAGTATTTGTTGTACAGAGCAGACCTCCTTCTGCACTCCAGTAATGACAAGGTGAATCCGGATCCTTATTGTTACTCGGCCCAGCTATGGCAGACAGGCATCCATGTGCCTAAGGGCATTGGCACCCCTGGTTTAACCCAGAAGCCAGGGTGCCAGGAAAGTCATTAAATCCACTGGGCACTATTATTGTTAACTTTAGGTGGGGATATTGGAGTGGTGGATGACTAAAAGTTTTAAAGGGCCACATCATCTTATGAAGCTGCTTTTGGATCTTCTGATCTATAACATTTCTTGATTGTTTAGTTTACTGTAGTATATGTTTGTTGTTGTTTTAAAAAAAATCCTTATAACAGAATTAAATAAAACGCATCTCTTCTGAGTCCGTGCAGTTAACTGGCAGACGCTGTGGAGCAGATCAGAAAGCCTACGGACAAGATCAGAAGGCCCATCTGTGACTTAAAGGCTTCTTCTGGAGCCAACCTTAACAGTGCCTCTGTACTGTGCTGTTGTTGTCTTAATTGATTTACACAGCATTGACACGAGGTGAGCTATTCGCTTTTTATCTTACAAATAGCAGGGAGCTGGTCTCTTACAAGACAGAAGGTGGTTAAACATCCATAAAAGATGCTCTGCCTGTGCTCTGTTATTTGCATTTACAGCTGTGTGCTGATAGTGTGCCTATTAGCATATCCATATGAAAAGCACACAGTAGTTGGACATTTACAACATCCTGTTGTTTGGCCAGTATAGCGCATCTGTTAGCACAACTTTCTACAGAGTTCTTTAAAAGAGCAACGGAAATCTGGGGAGCAGGGAGGCTGTGGAGCAGCTGGACAGTCGTGTTAAAATAAAATACCTGGAGAGTCTAACAAGGCGAAGATTGCGAGGAGAACAAGCGAAACTGGAACCGTAAAGCAATTCAGCATGCGGGGGTTCAAGTGGGACAGTTGTGAGTTTACAAAGAGC